AGGTTCACGAATGGAATTACCCAACCCATGATTTGGAGTTAGCTGCAATAGTGTTTGCCTTGAAGATTTAAAGACATTACTTGTATGGGGTGACTTGTAGGATTTTCACAGATCATAAGAGTTTGAAGTACATTTTCACCCAGACGCACTTAAATGGGAGACAGAGACGACGGTTGGAGTATATGAGTGATTATGCATTGGATATTCAGTATCATGAGGGAAAGGCTAATGTGGTTGCAGATGCTTTGAGCAGAAAGTCAGAACATACGGTGAATGTGATGGTAGTCCCAGATCAGTTGTGTGTGGAATTTCAGAAGTTGAACTTGGAGATGATGGAACATGGTGAAGTGGCTAGGATGTTGAATGACTTTGTGGTTTAACCATCCATTTATGATGAGATAAGGGATAGTCAATTGGAAGATGAGAAGTTAAAAGCAATTAAGAAGAAGATTGATGAAGGGCAAGTGTTGGATTTCACCATTGGTGATGAGGGAAGCATTCGTTTTAAGGGAAGATGGTGTGTGCCGCAGAATCGTAGTGATTTGAAGCAAAGATTTATGAAAGAAGCCCATACTTCTCCTTATTCAATGCATCCTGGTGGGGATAAGTTGTATAAGGACATGAAAAAGACTTTTTGGTGGCCCAATATGAAGAAAGAAGTGGCTAAATTTGTTGCTAAGTGTTTGACATGTCAGAAGGTGAAGATTGAGCATCGTAGGCCTCAAGGAAAGGTCCAATCCTTGGAGGTGCCCAAGTGGAAATGGGATTCGATTTCTATGGATTTTGTGGGAGCTTTGCCAAAGACTAAGGCAGGAAATGACACTATTTGGGTGATAGTGGACATGTTGACCAAGTCAGCAGCGTTCATACCCATGAGAAGTACTTGGACCATGGATCAGTTGGGAAGAGCTTATGTGAATTTTGTGGTGAAGTACCATGGGGTACCCACATATATCATTTCGGATAGAGATTCAAGGTTTTTGTCCAAATTTTGGCAAAGTTTGCAAAAGGCGATGGGAACTAAGTTGTTAACGAGCACAACATTTCATCCTGCGACAGATGGTCAGACAGAAAGAACGATTCAGACATTGGAGGACATGTTAAGAGCTTGTGTGATGGAGTATCAAGGGTCTTGGGAAGACCACTTAGATTTGATAGAGTTCTCTTACAACAACAGCTACCATGCAAGCATTGGGATGGCACCATTTGAAGCTTTTTATGGTCGAAAGTGTAGAAGCCCAGTATGTTGGAATGATATAAGTGAAACTATGGTACTTGAACCAAAAATGATTGAGGATATGGTGAAGCAGGTCAAGTTGATCCAAGAAAAGATTAAAGCAGCCCAAGATCGACAGAAAAGTTATGCTGATTTGAAAAGGAGGGAAGAGGAATATGAAGTAGGAGAGAAGGTTTTGTTAAAGATTTCACCCATGAAAGGTGTGATGAGGTTCGGGAAGAAAGGAAAATTAAGCCCAAAGTACAAAGGGCCTTATGAGATCATTCACAAAGTGGGAAAAGTGGCTTATAAGTTGGATTTGCCTAACGAGCTTGAAAGGGTTCACAATGTGTTCCATGTGAGCCAAATCCGAAAGTATATTCCTGATGTGACACATGTGTTACAACCAGAAACCATTGAGATGGATGAGAATTTGACTTATGAGGAAAGACCAGTAAAGATTCTTGACTCTAAGGTCAGGAGCACAAGGAACAAGGATGTGAGCATTGTGAAAGAATTGTGGTCAAATCAGAAAACTAAAGAGACTACATGGGAAGCTGAGGCTGATATGAGGAAACGTTACCTAGAACTGTTTGCCTAAGGTAAGTGGTCGAGTTACGGGGGCGTAACTCCTTTTAAGGGGGGTAGAGGGCGATAGAGTTTCGCGCGTCTACTTTTCGAGTCATTTTTGAGTGATTTCGAGTCTTATTTGAGTTGAGTTGGAGTCTTGAGTCAAGTTAGGATGTGCATAAACCAATAATTTCAAAATGATCTTTGTTTCTTTTGACCAAGTTTCGGGTCGAAACTTATTTTAAGGGGGGTAGACTGTAATACCCCGTATTTTCATACGTATTTTCCTAATTAATTAATTAGGAATTATTTTATAAAAAGGGTATTTTAGTAAATTTATTATTTGGAGCCAAAATAATATTTGAATTTTGGCGCCAAAAGTATTTTGATACCTAATCATTATTTTGGATAAGATTTATTATCCATTTATCCTATTTTAAAAACTGGATTATTTATATATTTTGGATATTTTAATTAAGGCAAAAGCTATATTTTATTATTATTTTAATAAGTCCAAAAATCCCATTTATTTAGCTAATAATTTCAGATTTTATTATGTAGAAAATCTGATTTTATTAGTTAAATTATTTAGTGAATATTTGGTATTTTATTATTTAATTATTTATTACAATAAATATTATTTACACAATTATTTTTAATTCCTTAAAACTAGAAAAATATATTCCTAAATACTAAATAGGAAGGCCGAAAATATGAGCTTAGTAAAGCTCAATAATTTCGGCCATCCCATAAAGATTTTGGGAAAATATTATGGTAATTTGTATTTTTAATTATCTCCCTTAAATCTCCTATTTTCCATAATTCTAATTCTCCATCTTTTTGATATCCAATTATAATATTTTCTTTCCATTCATTTTTCTTAATTATTCCCCAAGCAATTCCAATTTCCTTAACATTTTTCATGACATACATACCTTCCATATTCAATTATACACAATCCCTTCAAATATCAAAACTTTCCTTAAATCTTTGCTCACTTCTCCAAGTAATCTCTTAAAACCTAATTTACATAATTCTTCCTACATTTTCCTACCATAATTCATGCTCATACTAGCCTATAAATACCCCTTCATACCTCTCACAATCTTCACACCAATTCTCTACTTTTTCTTCTCCTCAATTTTACACAAATCATCCCGTTCATCTTTGAAGCAAATTTTCGGGCACTTATGGTCAGTTTTTGGGGTAGTAACGTTTCACAGAAGTTGTTTCTCTCGAAAACTCCTTGAGGTTAGGCTCAAGAATCACCCAATTCGGAGCTATATCGAAGGAGTTATAGCCTCTGAAAGTTCTGTCTTTTATTTCCTACGCAAATCCAATTCTTTTCTTCTCCTTTTCTTTTATTCAATTATTATTATTATGGGAGATTAATATAAAATTATTATGAGTATTTTTAATTATATAAAATCAGATTTTTATAATGTTCATGTTGAATTAATTTAAGAGGTTCATGTACATATAGTTGGGAGGGTTTAATTTAATTATTTGTGATTATTTGTAAACCTTATATTGGTTAAGGTTATATTTATTTGTAGGGTGTTTTTGATCAAGCTACTTGAGAGTTCTTTTGAAGTGTTGTTGGCTAAGTGAAGATCAAGGTACGTTAGGTGGCTAGATACCTTGAAAGTGATCGATTTGAATAACATGTTTGAATGATTTTATGATGAATTGAATTAAATTGAATTGAATTATGGTTTATGAACTAATAGTATGTTTAAAGGATTGGTTTTAATGATTGAATTGGAGTATTCATTTTTATAACATGTTTTGATTAATTAATTTATTATTCATGTTTAAAAAAGATTGACTTTGAAAGTAAGTTGGATTTATGGAAAAGGAGTTTGGATTGTTTTCATTAAAGGTTGAATTATTGGATTTAAAAGAGGATTTATTGAATCATGGATTTATTATTATTTATGCTTTATAAGCATGTTGGTAATCCCACTATGCGGATTTGGTTTATTGATAAGGCCTTAAATTTTGCATGACCGGGTCTTTCCTGAAGAATAGCTTTGTAACATAAGGAGACTAGCTTGGGGGGTGTGCACACTTGGGAGAGGAATTGGTTTTAATATGAGGAATTGGTTTTTAAATAATTGGAATTGGTTTTATTGATTTTTGATATTGGAATTATTGAGAATTGGTTTTAAACCATGAGTTTGGAATTATTGGATTATTTATTGGAAATTGGTTTTAAAGCATGTTTGCGAATAAATTGAGTTTAATTATCTTGCACTTATCGTACTTAGCATATTTTGCTAACTCGTACTTCTTATTTGTTTTGGTTCGCCCTGTTTACCGTAATGGTAAGCAGTGTTGCTTATTTTCAGGTTGGAGTCAATAAATGATGCATTGGAGTCCCGGGATTGGTTTTCACTAAATTTGGAATTTGGTCTTGTATCTATTTGGAGTACTCATAACATTGGCTACTATTATGGTTATATTAATAAAGAAGAGTATTGAAGTTTCCGCTGCTAAGTATTGGTTTATTTTTAGTAAGTTTGAGTATCCTTGCATTTTCACGCGGCGGTAATACGCCTAAGTCTATCTCTACGGTATAATTTTACGTATTATATTAGTATTTCCGTAGAGAGAGATTTGGGGGTGTTACATCTTGTGTTTCCGATGATATGGTAGCAATGCTGACCGAACCTTTCACAAGTGAAGAAGTCTATAACACATTGAAACAAATGCACCGTACCCCACTAAAGCCCCTGGACCCAACGGTATGTGTGCACTCTTTTATTAAAATGTTTGGAGTGTGGTTAGGAGTTATGTGATTGATAAAGTTTTAGATATTTTTAATAATGGGGGTGGTATTGGTTTTATTAATCAGACTTACATTACATTAATTCCAAAAAAGAAAGATTGTGAGTCTCCTCTTGATTATAGACCAATATGTTTGTGCAATGTCATCAATAAAATTGTTGCGAAAGTTCTCGCTAATAGACTGAAGATTGTCCTTCCTGACATTATTCACGGGTTCCAGAGTGGTTTTGTTCCCGAATGACTAATAACCGACAACATTCTTGTGGCTTATGAGTGTTTTCATTATCTGAGAAAATAGAAGGGAAAGTGGAGCATCTTGGGCTCAAACTTGACATGAGCAAAGCTTACGATAGAGTGGAATGATGCTTTTTTGGAGAATATGATGATTAAATTGGGCTTCCCGGATGCTTTTGTGAAGTCGATTATGAGGTGTATTAAAAGTGCCTCTTTCAAGATCTTAGTGAATGGGAAGCCTTCGAGGGGTTTTCTTCCATCAAGAGGGCTTCGGCAAGGCGATCCACTATCCCTATTCCTTTTTATCGTCTGCGCGGAAGGTCTTTCCACTCTTCTTAGAGATGCCGAGAGCAAGAAACTTATTCATGGTGTGAAAATTGGGAAGAAGGTTGAACCGATATCACATTTATTTTTTACGGATGATAGCCTTCTCTTTTTTAGGGCAAGTGAAGATGAATTTGAGAATGTGCTTGATATCCTTACCACTTATGAAGCTGCGTTGAACCAGAAATCGATTATGGAGAAATCCGAAGTGTCCTTTAGTCGAAACATTGATCCGGAAAAGAAAAATTTGCTTCAATCAAAGTTATCCTTTAAGGCCGTTGATGAACATGACAAATACCTTGGACTCCCAATTTACATTGGAAGTTTAAAAAAAAAGAATTTTCTCAATCATTCAAGATCGGGTTTGGAAAAAGCTAAAAGGGTGGAAGGAGTGTTTTCTATCTCAAGTGGGGAGAGAGATTTTTATTAAGTCTATTGCACAAGCAATCCCGAATTATGCAATGTAAGTGTTTAGTCTCCCTTCTAGCATTATCAATGAAATTGAAAAGATGTGTCACAATTTCTTTTGGGGCCAAAAGAAAAATAAACGTAAAACAGCTTGGGTGGCTTGGGATAAAATGATTTTCTCAAAAGCTGAGGGAGGAATGGGACTGCGTGATCTTCATATTTTTAACAAGGCTATGTTAGCTAAACAAGTATGACGTTTGTTAAAAAATTCGCAATCCTTGGTGTCAAAAACCCTTAAGCAAAAATACTATCCAAATTGTGATCTTATGGCTACTAAGGTTACTGCCAATGCTAGCTTAACATGGAGATTGCTCATATCTACTAAAAACTTAGTCTCGAAAGGTGCAAGAAAATTGATTGGTAATGGTGCTACCATAAATGTTTGGAATAATACATGGATTCCCTCTTTACCCAAATTCTATGTTCTAAAAAGACATCAACCTACTGTTGATGTTCCTGCTTATGTGAGTAGCTTGATTTGCGACGGTGAGTGGAATGTAAGCTTTCTTAATTCTCTGTTTCTGCCTTGGGAGGTAAAAGAAACCATCAAAATCCCGATTTCTCGCTTTGGAGATGTTGATTCTTCGTCATGGCATCACACTAAATCTAGGGATTTCTCCGTTCGAAGTGCTTATCACCTTGATCGCGAGACAAAAAAATCAGGCCTTACTTCTACATCTGCTCCTCAGCAAAAGACCCTTTGGTCTACTCTTTGGAAGCCAATTTGCCACACAAAATTAAGCACTTTGGGTGGAGAGCCCTACACAAGGCTGTTCCTGTTCGACTCAACCTTAAAAAACGAGGCATTACTCTTGATGATATATGTCCTTTGTGCGGTGAGGTCCCCGAAGACATCTGCCATGCTATTCTCTTTTGTGAGACTGTGAGGTGGATTTGGTATTTATCTCCCCTTAGATTGGTTGTTGGTGATGGCAACTCCTAATCTTTTCTTTCCTGGTGCAAGGCAAAAAGGGAAATAATAAAAGATAAGCTGTGGTGGGATAATTTTTAGAGCTTACTTTGGGATATTTGGCTAAGGAGAAATGCTTGGCTATTTGAGAATAAAAAAATTCAGGTGGATGAGATTCTGAGAAAAGCATTTGGCATCATTGGTGAGTATGAGAAAGCAAACACAATCCTTCCCACAGATTTTACCTATAAGCCAGTTACTCCCCAAAGATGGCTTCCTCCTGCTGCTGGTCTGTACAAACTGAACACGGATGCTGCAATTTTTGCTGATGAGGCTGTTGGATTGGGGGTATAGCTTGTGATAGTGTGGAGATGTGATGCTAGTAGCTACTTGCTGCAAAATTAGGGGCTCTTTTGAAGTGGATATTGCTGAAGCTATGGCTGCTAAACACAACCCTGGAATTGCTTTGGAAAGCTCAACAAAATCATCTTGGAGTTTGATAATCTCAAACGGATTCAGCATCTGAAGAGCAAAAAGCAGGACACCTACTACTTTGGTCGTGTTTTAGCTCACATCCTTCACTTGCAAAGACATGTGTGTCTTTTGATGCTGTTCATATTGGTAGAAAAGGCAATGGAGTTGCACACAAGCTTGCCCAGATTAGTATGAATTATGTTGTTGTGCTTGTTTTGATAGAAGAAGTACAACCTGATGTAATTTCTGCTCTAGTTGCAGACTTTGTTTCGATTTAATTTATTATGTTCGTTTTCTGTCAAAAAAAAAGTCCGTACTGCGTTATTTCAGATGCATCTTACAAAGATACCGGGTCCTGACGGTATGTTTGCAATTTTTTTCCAAAATATTTGGGATGTTGTTGGTAATGATGTAATTGGGAAAGTCTTGAATATTTTGAACAATAATGGTGATGTAGGCGCTATAAATAAGACTCATATTGTTTGAATTCCGAAAAAAATATTGTGTAGAAATTTCTTTTGGGGTCAAAATGGAGAGGAACGGAAATATAAGGCTTACAGTTCTAGAACTGGTGATGTGTATGACTGGAGCTCTTTATGTAAAGCGGAAGTTCCACCTAAAGTTAAAAATTTTGCGTGGCATGCAATCAATAATGGGGTGGCTACTCAAGCAAATCTAATTTCCAGGGGAATGAAAATTGATCCAATTTGTGCTTTATGTGGTGAAGAACCTGAAACCTTTCTTCACGTGCTCGTTTTGTGCAGGGATTCAAGGATGATTTGGCACCTCTCTCCACTCAGGCTGGAGGTGGGAAATTAAGTTGGCAAAAATTTTAGTGAATGCTATGGTTCAGTAAGAAGCAAGAATAAAGACCATCGATGGTGGAATATTTTGTGGAGCATTACATGGGGTCTTTAGTTACGGAGGAATGCTTGGATATATGACGGAAAGAAGAAAGAGTTCGGGGTTCTCATTGATAATGTTGTCAGTCTTGTTGGTGAGTTTGAGAATATTTTAGAAGCTAGTAACACTTGCATCACACCTCCAAAAATTCCTGATCGTTTTTCTGATCCTAGGACTGGCGTTATAAAGGTAAACTCTTATGCTGCGCTGTTTAAGGATGGGAGTGTAGGCTTTGGAGAATTGATGAGGCAATGCGATGACGATGTTATTGCTACTATTTGCTTACTTTTGCGGGGGGACTATAATGTGGATATTGTAGAAGCCATGGCATTATGACACGAATTGTCAATCTCTATTGAGTCCAGTTTCCAGGTTCTTTGCTCGGAGACTGACTGCTTCAAGCTGTACAGCAGCCTAAAAACTGCTACTGTAGGTCCTATTGGTTTTGAGTTGGTTGTTGATGACATTTTATAGCTTAGGAATTTTTTTCTCATGCACTTTTTCCTTTGTTAAGAGGGAAGGGAACCGCGTAGCGCATAATTTAGCTAGATTAAGTAGTAATTTTGAATGTCTAAGGGTTTAGATGGAAGAAGTTCCATCTGATTTGGTTGATCTTGTATTAACTGACTTCAAACCTCCTTCTTTTTAATATATGCTTGTGGTGGTTTTTCAAAAAAGAAAAATTGTCTTAATATTGTTAGGGTTTGGTGAGTCCAACTCACCGCGGAAACAAACCCAAAAAACAAGACCGCACTTGCAATAAATAAAATCATAAACATAATTAACTTAATGACAAGATTAAGATAATAATTATACTTTTGACACGTGCTTCGCCCGACCTCGAGGGGCTCTTACTTCGAAAGATAGCCTCGAAATTACGACGACCTCCAACGGAAGTCCACCCACAACTCGAACACCCCTAGGATCCAATGCCTTGGAGTTAGCAAGGCCCGACCTGAGTTCAAAGGTTTTCACAATGGTGATGCCTTTTTCAACTCTTGAGTTCAAAGGTTTTAATGGTGATGCCTTTTTCAACTCTTATTCAAGTGCTTTTCCCAATACCCCAAGTTGGGTATTTATAGGGAAATGCAAGAGTGTGAAAAGCTCTCCCATCAATGTGGGAGAATTTGATTTTCTCATTTTATTTTAAAGCTAAAATAAAATTAATAATCAAACTAATATTAAATCAACAAGTGGCAAGCTCATAAGGAAGAGTAGGTGAGGACCATTTCGGGGAGGGGGGCCAAAATTGCCCCCCACTTTTACTCCCATAACCGGCCACCTCTCCATTTAGCCTTCCAATTAGCTTCAGCCATGTGGCAGCTCACTTAGGCACCCACGGTACCCTTGTGGGCTGCCACGGTGCAGCTGTGAGGCCTCAGCCCAGCTCACCTCGCACCTAAAATGCGGGTTGCTGGCTGCCTCGGCCTAGCAAGCCCCGCACCAAGTGTGCGGGCTGCTAGCTGCCGTATGCTAGCACAACCACGCACACTAGTGCGGGCTGCTAGCATTTGCCGCGCCCCTAGAACTCGATTTTCCGATGCTAGGGGTATTTTGGTCATTGTTAATTTATTATTATTTTAACGTCTCGTCTTTTTACTATTTTCGATTTGCCTTCCGACGCTCGGTTTCGACGCTCCAAGCTCGAATTTTCGGCGTCTAAATATTATTCACTCGGTCGACTTATTAATTAATTCCTGATTAATTCGTTGCTTCGGCTCGTTAGTTGCTTGGGTGTGATCCGAAGGGTTTAGTCAAGATTAAGCTGTAATATTCATTATGCATTAATATTACTGATCAGAAGCGGCCTCCATCCAGGCATTCTGATCACTTGGCCTCACTGAAAAATTAGCTTTCGAATAATTCTGAACCCCCTATAAGAATAATACACTTGTTTGAAGGACACCATTCCTTTCAATATCCCACTTGTCCTTCTGAACAAGTGTGCTTTTTAGTGTATAGCCCTTTTCCTATGTCGCTTAATACCTCTTCATGAACTATAAGGTAAGATTTATTTGTCATCCTTATAACGTCCAGAAGTGTTTCTCGATTCCGAGTCCGACTGTCAATAAACAAATGATTTCTAAAATCCATCCGAGCACAGCCATGCATTTTACAGTCTCGCTCTTCGAGAGGCCTTATAAACAACAAAGACATCTTCCCTATTTTTAATAGGGGACATTTCTAGTCTTTTAATGTAGCTTCTTTTACTAAGAGGACCTAGCCGTCCGTGTGATGCCGTTATAATCCCCTATTACGGCAGAAGTTTGACAATCATCAAAGCGGACTAGTACTCAAACAAGAAAGTTCACAATACTCATGGTCAAGGAAAAAGGTTTTGATAGCAATAATGAGAAGTACACTTATGACGATTTTTAATTTCTTAAAGTATTCTCATAGGTCGATCCAGTATGGTTCTAAACTAATACCTGTGTAAATGATTTATGACAATCATGTCCTTGGCACAAGAAACGGTTCTATAAATCAAACTACATACTAATCTCAAATGGCCATTAATCGTCCATCGTATTAAATGACCTCGATTAGGGATAATTTTCGATTATAATATTTAATGTTCACTTAATATGTGTTTCCTTACCAAGACTAGTCTTGATACCCTATTTTAAATATTCCAAGAATCGAATAGACTCATTATTTAATCCTAAACCATAATT